TACTGGGGCTTTGGGGCGGGGGGAAGGAGGAGGATTGGCAATAGATGTTAGCTCAGAGCGGGTCTTCCTCAGCAAAAAGAGGAGGATTGGCATGGATGTTAGCTCAGGGCTGATCTCCTCACAAAAAAAAAAAAAAAAGCCTACAAGTCCTGAAGAAAATCAAAACAAAAAATTTTTCCTCTTAGCTAACTTCTCTAATGGCAGCTATTGTTTTTTATACAGTTAGACTTTATATCATTCTTTTAATTAAAACAGACTACACTGGTTCATCTTATCGTTAAAATAGTAGACTTTCGGTTCTTTGACATAACTTAATTCAGTAGTATACTTTACTCCATTAATATTCTTGCAAAGTTGGATGTAGCGTGAATTTAAATAAATAAAACTCCATGGATTTCCATTATAAATCATAGCTACATTTCCATAGATAACTGAATGGAATCTAAAACATAAATTATACAGAAAAACTTTAAAAATTGTTTATTAAAGGGGAAAGGTTCTTGTACAACTTATGTAAATATTAAATGTTAGAAAACATAAATTGATTTCTGAAATGTCAAATATACCAAAATTGGCATTTCTTTAGGGTATTTGCCCATTTTGTCCCCTGATCTGTACAGTCATTTTGTTATACTAAAATGTTGCCTCAGCCTGTCTCTATCCCTTGGTAAATAAAGTCTTTTAGAATCTTTATTTCTGACAGTGGGATACTTCGCAAATATTTGTTTAGTGGCCCTGGTTAAAGTTACTAGTCTTCAGTATGATAAATACTGGTTTATTGACCTTTTTTTTTTTTTAGAGAAATAGAAAACTTTATTGTGCATATGTAAAAGGGTTATTTAGTTGTTTTCTGAAGGGCCTGCTCCCTCTCAGATTTCCTCGATGGTAGGCTGAGCCACCCCACCAATCTCCTCCTCAGAAAAGTCTCTCTGCTGCGCCGGCCACCGGCCCATCTCCTGGTTGTCGGGGTTGGCCAGGGGCCCCTTCAGCATCTTCCCCTGGCAGCCAGGAGGGCAGCACAGCTGGGAGGCCGTGAGCACCCTGCTCAGGATCAGCAGCAGAGTGACACAGCAATGGCCAGGGCCACCGCCAGCAAGTCCTTCAGCATCTTGCAGGAGGCTTTAAACCACGACATGGTGGCTTCTTGACCTTCAGTGGCCCCGCGACCACCATGTAGGTGTCTCCTTCCCCCAGGAACTCATGGTGTTGCTCTCTCTTTGGGTGGGAACAGCCAAAGTCACAACAGGGTATTGTTTAAAAGATAATTCCATACTGCCGTGAATGTGCACTGTCACATTCAAGTCCGAGTAATTATAGAGGACGCTCCCTCACTAGGATGCCAGAGAATAATTTGCTGGCCCTTGAAGCGCGCTGTCATGAATGTCTCTCCAGCTTGCAGGTGCTCAGGCAGACAGCTCACTGAATAGGTGTAATGCCGGGGGGAAGGGGGGGTTGCCTTTCAAGGGTAGGTATTTCTACATGTTTTATTTAGATTTCTAAAAGTGCGTGTATGAAGACCTATGGATATATAGATTGTATCACATTCTAGTTAAATATGGGCAAAAACCCACCAAATTGGAGTATTTTAAGTGAAAGAGAAAGCAAGATGCACAACAGTGTGTATACTGTGTAACCAGTTGAACAAAGAAGCAAAAGGAAAAGAATATGTGTGTTTTATTCTGTATTCATTAAAAAAAAATCTTAGGAAGAAATCAGAAGAAACTGTCAACAGTGATCACCAGTTAGAGGGCGGGTCTGGGGAGACTAGGGCAGATGGAGGACAAGGATGGAGGAGGATTTTCAATGTATTCATTTTTTTCATTTAAATGTATTTGTTGGAGTTTCAGTAACAGCTTTATTGAAATATAATGGACATACAATAAACTATATGTATTCATAGTATATATACGTTTTTATACTTGTTATTTTTATGAACAATGTGAATACATTGCCTATTAAAAATGGAAAGAAGTTAATTAAAACTTTAAAAATTGACTAAGTAAATAGAAAATAACAAAGCCGGCCTGGGTTTTATTATATGTACTTGGGCCCCTGTGGTTCAGTCTAAGAATTTTTATTCCTTTTGACTTCTTGTAGAAATTTTGGGTAAGATTAGCTTGGTGGTTGCCAACAATAAAATATTCTCTTGTCATCTTTTCAATCTTATTTGATGCTGAAGATTTTGAAAACGAAACTGTCACAGACGTGTCCTTGGTCTCAGAGTATTGACATTCTTCAGAATGAACAGTGAATGCAGAGTAATTTCTAAATTAGAGTTGTAGCCCGGGATGAGGACTTAACCAAAATTCTCTAGCTGTTAAAAAAAAAAAGGTTTAAGGCTATTGTTACCCCACCCTTCACACCCCCTTGTCAGGGCTCCGCCTCTCACATAACTGATTTGGGATCATGGAAAATCAGACCGTGGACATACAGGTGTAACAGGCGAGCTCCAGCTGGCCTCAGTGCAACATGAAAGGTGCAGCTTTATCCTAATTGCACGTTCACTCCTTTGCTTCAATTACATCCTCAGATTAGGGTCACTTTGACCAGACATTTCATGGTCAGGGAAGGAGTCTTTTTGTATCTGGAACTACTGACTGGTGCTCTGGGTGAGAATGACCATTTTCTGCCTGGTGGAACTGTTGGCCGTCGCCTATCTTTGGTTTCAGTGATCTGGGCTTATGAGATTTGGCTGAAGGGAAGCAAAGATGAGAACTTTCTGATTCAGCTTTTGCATGTTTGCTGTCTTCTCCCTCCCTTTGTCCCTCTATCTGCTAACCCAGATAACTGCTTTGTCTCATCCGGATTTTTTATCATTGAGAAGAGCCAATCAGACTTGGAGACTCGGTGCCATTGTTGGAATCAACTTGCTCTTGTTCTCGAATTTCCACTTTCTGTGCCACCTGGGGCATCCTCATGGCCAAGTCACGTCGTTCTTTCTTGGTTCAGTTTCATTATGGGAACAGATACGTAGGGGAAACAGGGTAACCCAGTAGTAGGAGCCCTCGTTGGGGAATCAGACAATCTGAACACAGGACCTTACACTGCTGTGAGCTATCACTGAGCAGTCAAGACTTGATTCAGTGCTATATCCTTGGTAGGTGCTTTGCAAAAATGTATTGGTTGATTGACTAGGACAAATTCTCTGCTTTAGTTTCTTCAATTGAAGATAGAGGTGACTTTTGTACCTCATTGCGGTTAAGCTATACAAAAAATAAATACATTAATATAATGAAGAGAAGAAATGGACAAATCATGTATTGTGTGGAGGTGATTTGTAAAATGTGAGAGTGGATGAGATGATGTCTCAGGTGCCTTCTAACTCCGCGTGTGTCTGGCTCTGTGAGAAAGGGCACAGCTGGGTTGAAGCTGGACTCCAGGAGGATGGAATTGCTTCTGTTTTTATCTGCTGAGTGATATCTTTTAGGTTCCAGACGCAAGGCAGCTCTGTTCGCCCACTGGCATCTTGAGAGCATTTTTCTTCCTTTCTGTATATGAGGAGTAGGTGCTTATTTACTTACTCACTTTAGATAACTTAGGTAATTTTATTCTCAAAACAAGCTTTGTGAGGAGACAAGGCCAATATTAAATCTACATTTTATAGGTGAGGAAAGTGGGGTTCAGAGAGGTTATAGGATTTGTCCCAAGTTACGTAACAAGTCAGTGGCGAGGCCACTTCTCTTTGTATCCTGCTCCCTCTTCTCCATATGCTTCAGTTTCTGATTTGTAAGTCTGAAATTAGGAAGTAGGATCCAGTGAAATTGAGGTTTGAGTGTTCTATCATCCTGATCTGAAATCAGTTATTTATTTATTTATTCAGTATCTTAAATCATTTTTGGAACAAGGAGGATTTTAGTTACTTGTAACAATGTAAATTAAGTGTCTTATGTGCAGAGCACTGTAGAGGTAGGATACATACAGAACCTCTGCCATCACATAGTTTATTCTCCAGAAGATGAATGCAAACAGTAGACATCTAGTTTTATGTAGTAGAGGATTTCATATAAGCAGAGATGGACCGGGGGAGATAGAAATCTGAGAATATTGAAGGTCGGGGTGGGGTCCAAGCTACAGGCACAAAACTCTGACTAGTGTTAGTTAGGAAATGGTCGAGTAGAGGAGTTTGGCAAGAATAGGGAAGCATTGGGTCCAGTATTGAGGGCTCTGTATGTCTAGGTTGCTGACCCAGAGTCCTAGGTTAAGCTGTGAGATTTTCTAAGGCTGGGAGTCGGTGATTCTCTTAATGAGGCATGAGAAAGGGAGAGGTAAGCCTGTGAAGGGTCACGGACAGGAGGGGATGGGCTGGCCGGGGTCACGGCTGTGAGACTGCCTTGGGTGGAGCTGGGTACATCACAGGCCCCAGCAGTTAGCTCAGCGGTTTGTATGACAGGCATATCAGCCCTTGTTGTCCCTCCTCTTCCTTAAAAGGCAGCTGAAATTTATAGAACCTCTCATTTTCCTGCCTCGCCTCCGGCTGCTCTTGTGACTGTGTATGTGTGTGTGTGTGTGTGTGTGCGTGCGCACACTCCGACCATCACAGTAATTCTCAGGCCATCAAAAAAGATTTTTTTGTCCTGATAATATGGAATCGCCAACCTGGTCCCAGGCTGTTGTTTTTTGTGCTCTTTTCAAGGAGTACAAATAAAAGGGAGGAAAGCCATTTGGAGTAATAATACTTCAAGTAGCTTTTTATAGCTCTTTTGATTTCATATTACAAGTCATTTAGTTCTGGGCCCCATGTGATTATAATTCATGAAGATGTCTTGTTTTTTCTGCTTTGAGTTTCTATATTTTGAGTTAAAACTGAATTATCATTAGTACATGTTTCCGAAGCCATACCTATTTGTCCTTTTTGTTTGTTTGTTCCAATGAAACAGTGTGTCGTGTGGAATTAGATTAATGGAGTAAATGTTATGAATCATACACTCTCTCTAATCTGATGCTCTTTCTTTTTTTGACCCCATGTTTTGTTTTCTGTCTCTCTTTCTCCCTTCGTGTAGGCTTTTCAGTTCAGTGCGAAGCTGTCAGAGCGAGGGAGCAAAGGTAAAGAATGATGTAATGCACTGGCCGCCCCAAAGCATCTTTTGTTGTGGCATGGTTATTCCAGTCATCTCTTTATGAATCAGATGTGAGGGGCTGCTTTGTGGAAGGAGCCCTTTGCAAGAGCACATCAGCGGGAAAGAGAAAGAGACATTCACTTGGAGGGCTCTTGCTGAAAATGGGTTTAACTCTGCTTTTGCCAGTCACCACCAGCCTGACCTCATACAGTTGTAGTACAATGGAGTGGCTGAGCCTTTGAGCACACCACCATTACATCATCGTGGCAAATTAAAGAGGGAGGTGGGAAAAGAGGACTTATTGTTGTCATGGCCCATGAGATGATTGGGACTCAAATTGTTACTGAGAGGTTGGTGGCTCTGCTGGAAAGTGGAACGGAAAAAGTGCTGCTAATTGATAGCCGGCCATTTGTGGAATACAATACATCCCACATTTTGGAAGCCATTAATATCAACTGCTCCAAGCTTATGAAGCGAAGGTTGCAACAGGACAAAGTGTTAATTACAGAGCTCATCCAGCATTCAGCGAAACATAAGGTAAAGGCTTTCTTTTTTTCCTTTTTAAAATAAATAGACACACTGAAGGAGGAATAATTTTAAGTGAAGCCTCATTTTTAAGGGGAGAAAGTAATATAGGAAGTTTTAGTTGCTTTTTAAACTTTGGTGCCTTATGATACCTCAAAATAATTTACTAACCATATTGTCACGATTAAGAGTATTTCTAAACTATACAGAAAGGTTAACTTGTTTTAATTTGGTCAAGTGCTATGTTTTCCTATTAGTGGCTTGCTAAAATTGTTTTATTAATTTAAACACTAATAAAAAGTTATAATTAATACATTGTATTAGTAGTAATTATTACTATATAATATAGCATGTGTATTATTAATAATTAATATATTAATATGTTATTTTGTATTATCTACAAATTACTGAAAGGAAATGATTTTTTAAAGTGCCTTGGGAAAAAGTAGAAACTAATTATATTAGAAGTGCTTTTATTTGTGGGAAGGTAAGGTGAGGTTGGTCAAGGCTTAAGGATATTATCTTCAAGGAAAGTTATTCCTGGGATACCAAACTGTCATCTTTGTGGTAGGTAAGGCTGTTTCTCTTCTTCAGGAGTAAAAATGAGTTCATGTTTTAATTTTACTAAACAACTGATTTCTTTGTTGTTACGTAGAAACCATCTTTAAAATGTTTCTTTAGTTCAAGGATTGTTATGTTGATTTTGCATATCATTTAGTTGTACACATTTTACCCTTTTAGAGCATAAAGGATTTAAAATCAAAGAGTTTTGAGGACATCTACACAGAAATAGCATCCAGATTGCCTTTTAAACGTTGATTTTTACAAGCACGTAAGCCATTTGTATGTTAGGTTTATCCACAAGTCACCCGCATCTCATTTGTGTTCAGATTATTAATTGAAAACGAGAAGTTATTTGCGTCAGCACCGGTAGTTTATGGGATTATTTTCCTCGCCTTCCTTCCTAACAGCTCACATTTGCGTTGTAGGTCGACATCGATTGCAGTCAGAAGGTTGTAGTTTACGATCAAAGCTCCCAAGATGTTGCCTCTCTGTCTTCAGACTGTTTTCTCACTGTACTTCTGGGTAAACTGGAGAAGAGCTTCAGCTCGGTTCACCTGCTTGCAGGTAAGGCTCGTGGGAGAGTTGAAAGGGCTTGGAATCTCACTGAGTTCTGTGAGTAAAGCAGTATGTCATAGTGAGCTCCAAGTACACTAGATCATCACAACTTTGAAGTTATTCTGTGAAATGGTTTATTTATGGCTTTTGATTGATGTAACTGTTCTATTTAACTTGAATGGTATCATTCTTCCACATTGGTCAATGCGTCTTGACTTAGCTCAGATGCCTCTTCACTTGCTATTTCTTAGCTGGAAGTGCCACATGGAACTGTGTGCCCACAGAGATAGCTCAAAGCCAGCTGCTTCTGCCCAGGAATTTTTACGTTCACCTGTGATCAAGCCACCAAATGCTCTACGTCTCAGCTCCTGCTCTTAGTTCCCACCTCATGTGGCAAGGACCAGACCAGTATTCTGGTGTGAAACTCGTATTAAACATTTATAGTTAAAGTGGACTCCAGCAATCAGGATCAGCATTCTTGGATGTTATAAACAATGAGATAGGGAAAGAATGTGTGTAGAATATTTCTTCTAATAATTAGGGGGAATATTTTAAAACTTGTTTACGTGTGTATTTTTGGGTTTTTTTTAACAACTAAAAAAGTCTCAACTTGCAAATGCTGAGCAACCAGATGATTTTATAATATGCATGAGAAGGACTAAATATTTTATATCTGCCCTAAAGGAGGGCGGTGTGAGAGTTCCATCTCATTGAATTCCAAAGCAAAGTGTTCATCCTTTGCTTCCCCTGTGTTGCAGACATTGCTAAAGCCCTTTCATCCCACTGGCTCAGAGTGGGGAATACAGTTTGACAATGCACAGTAACCTTTTTTTTTTTTCTTTTGAATTTTTCTTTAATATTACATTTAAATATTCTCTTTAAGTACAGCATTATCACAATGTAAAAGACCTAAAAGGCAAAAAAAAAAAAAAATTGGTTTCAGAGAACCAGACAAGCTTTGGATTCACATTGAAAATACTACCTGTGTACAGTATGTGAGAAAGGAAATTGGAAAATAATAAGAGTTGCAATGAGTCATTTCTTTCCTCTAGGCCTAGACTGAGCAGGATTGAAGCTATCTGCTTCTGTGATCAGAGGCCTCGCTTTTCTAGCAACCACGAGCTATAATTCTGTCCAACTCAGGTAGCACCAGAAACGAGATGGACGAGGTTGTAGAAAAGGCCCTTTGCTTGACAAGACAGTTAGTGCTAAATGTCAGTATTTAGCGTTTAAAAGCTTGGGATCAGTGTGAGTCAGAATTGTAGAGTGAATGAAGGGATAGACTTAGATTAGGAAACTAGTTTTTCAGAAAAATCAAATATCTTGGGAGTTGGCAATGAGTTTGATATTCATATTCTTGGGTTGATCCCAAAGGCTAACGTGTCTCTTATTGAGCAGCTGGAATTCACTTCCTCAGTTAGGCTGGAGCCTTCCTAAGGAGGGAATGTATAGAGCTCACCCTCTCCTTCCAACACAAACTTGCAGAAAGACTGTTGTCCATAGTCAAATTCCCAGTAAAGCTTCAGTCTTGTATTTGAGGGGACCCATCTAAGGTAGGGGGTATGTGGCTCAGTTTGGGATAGCATCTAGATCTCTGGTTGCACAGTAACCTTTAACACAAAGCTGCTGTGTCTGCTAGATTCTGCTACAGTGATAGGCACGAGCGCTTTTAAAAATTTGATCTAAGAAAAACCAAATATTGGCAGGTATCATCATTTTCACAACTTTAGTCTTTTGTCGCAAAGAGGGGGTACAGTGAAATTGATACTATTGGCAATTGATTGTTAGAAGTATAAACATTTCGGTTTTAAGAGAATAGGATTAATCAGTTGTTGGTGTGTTAACACTTTTAAACTCTGCATGTTTAAATAAGATTTCCATGTCTCCAGTGTCTCATCAGCCTTCGCTTCAGTTCTCAGAGAACAAGCATAGTTTCCTGTCTCTTTCACATCGTCTGTTGCCACACCTTTTGTTTATGCTGTGATTCTGCCTGATGTCTCGTTAGTGTCCTTAAGTGAAGCCAGCTTGTCTTAGAGTGTAGTTTTTAGAATTCTGTAACTGAGAATTATAATATTAGGTTCTGTCTCTCGTTGATGGGCACATTCTTTTATTGGGAGTATTCAGTAGGACAACTGTTATTAGAGTTACATGAGACCAGGAGGGTGAGTTTAGGAACTCGTTTCATGCTTCTTGTAGCCACTGTGAGGGACTTTACCTTGAAATCTTCTTAATGGGATCAGGGTTTTGCTCAAGGAGGACACACCAAGATGTGCTTCACGGCAAAGTGGTTATCCCACCTCGCTCTTACTAGAGGCACTTTTCCCTCTGGAGGGCTCTGACTTGACAGCTTGGCCAAGCAGATACTCTCATGGAGGAATGAGCTCGTGTTGAATTTCCAGGACAGGTGTTTTAGTTACCTGAATGCCCTTTCTCCCCTTTACCAAAGAGCACTCCTTTGTTACTGGGGAAGGTTCTTATCAGCCATGTGTAGCTTTGGGAGGGGCACTGATCGGTCAGTAAGGAAGAAAGAGGACTCATTCTGATTCTCTAGATCCACCCGAGGGACACACGGAATGACACTCTGAGTCAGAAGACCCTGACATCCCCACTTCATGTAGGAAATGTTTTCTAGGCCTAAACGAAAGTCCTTTGAGGCAGCACCAAGAACCACGCAGAATGTATTGACAGCACCATATTGTCATCCACGCCCTAGAATACTGTATTTCTTTTAGCTTAAGAGGTGGCTTCAGGGACTGAATTGCCTTGTTTGGGAGTTTCTGAGCAACCAGATCTCATGTGACACCGAAGAGAGGGTTCCGGATGGTTAAAAGCCTCCTCAGCCACCCAAAAACCTCTGACCAATTGGAAATTCCCTTGGTTACTGAGTCTGTTCCTTGGAGAGACAGAAAAGTGGAGTAAGTGGAGAGAATGCTGGGGAAGGTATGGCCTTCAATTCTTGGCAGCCTGTTTTTTTGTCAAGGTCCAGCTGTTCAGAGGACATTCCAGGGATGTGGGATAGAAGGACATATCAACAAATGTTTCTTAAATATTTTGCTTGAGGGGAGATCACTGACCATGGAAAAGCACACTAGCTTCTCACAGGTGCTACAGGAAGTGGCAAGGTCACAAGACGATTTTCACTGCACCCTGCCCCTATTGCTTCAACGGTTAGAGATGCTTGTCAGCCTCAAGTGGATGTATGTGATAACAGAAAGACTAGGTGGTTTCTTGGAATAATTTCTCCATCAGTTTAGAGCTTTCCGCTACTCTGAGATTATTCAGGAAAAAAGCATTAGATATGTGAAATGGTTTCTTATGGTTATTATATATGGAAGTGAAGAATTGTGGCCTGAATTCCATTCACATTCGCAGGGCTACCTTACCCAGAAAAAAATGACTTTGAAGAAGGGGAACAAGAAGCCCTCCCCAAGGAACTGATAGAGGAAGCATCTGAATGAGCTCTTTCCCTCGAACAAGAGGAGACCCCAACTTACCTATAGGACTAGTTACATGGACATAAAAACTGAAGCCTTCCTGAAGCGGGGGGATTGGATTAGAGGAAGCTATCTTGGAATGCGGTGGGCTTAATCCTTTCATATGGAACAGGTCCTGCTTGCGGGGGTGGCTGGCCCAGTACACGTTAGCTTCTACCAGGTGAGAGGGGTTCTGTTAAGCCACTTTGACAGCTGATTATCAATGAGACCGACTCCCAAGCCTTCTAATCCTGAAACTTAGAACCTGGTTCTGCAGTGAAGGCCTCTCTTGGCCACATCTGTGGGCCTGTGCGCTCAGGGACCTTGACCCCCGCCTGACCTACTTTCCCTTTTCTAAGCCCAGTCAGTATTCTCAACAAAATGTTTAATGTTTGACAGCCATATGCCATCCTGTCACAAGTATTTCATTATTATCTTAAAATTTTATTTAAACCTTATATTGTTGTTTATCTTTTTCATTTGTTAGCTTACCTCCCCTACTGGATTCTCTTTTTCAGGCTGAGGACTATGTCTTGTTCATCTTTGTGTTCCCCATAATGCCTCGCACTTCTTAAGTTTTCAGTAAATGTTTGAGATATAAATTAGCTTACATGTAGGCTTATACCATTTATATTTCATATGATTTATTAGTTTAGAATATAAGTGATTGTATTAAACAGTGATGAAACTAATCTGAAAATGTAGTGAAAGCGAGAGATTGTTTTGAAATAAATGATTCGCAAAATGTCTTTGCTCGGATAGAGCAAACATATAGCTGCTGTGGGAAGAGTATCTAACATGAAAATGTTTCCATCTAAGTAGATTTAAACATGCTTTTAAGATCTAATAAAAATGCTGCTGCAGTTAAACAGTGCTAAGTTTGTGTGATCCTTCAATACTGAACCTTGATAAAGAGTTAACAGCTCTAGAAACCTAGCTCCGCTCATAGGAAGATACAAGTCCTTGAATCCATATGAATTGAGAATGGTTGAAATGGTTTATATTTTTATATTTTAAAATGTAAATGTAAGTTGATTATTCATTTAGCCATTAGTAAGTTTCCCAATAACCAAGCCAAACCAAACCATAGCATTGTGTCCCCCCCCCACCCCCCAGAGGATTAAAGGGTTTTCATTATCAGTAGCAGCCTCGTCTGAGCCAAAAAGAATGATTTTGGATCCCTTTGGAAAGTTCTCCATCGTCATTGATGGCTAGGTAATGGCAAAACCATTTTTTTCCAATTTGAAGTTAGTTATTGAATCAGCACAGTTTAAAGATGCATGCATCCTCCCACAGTGGTCTTTAAAAACAACACTTAAGGCGGATAGAAACTAGACTTTTGGTGGTGAACAGAATGCATTCTGTAAAGAAGCTGAAATAAAATGATGTATACCTGAAATTTACACACAGTGTTTTAAACCAATGTGACCTCAATAAAATTTTTTTTAAAAAGATGTTTAA